CCCGCCGGCTCTTTTTCAGCTCCCGGCGGCTCTGACTCCCCTTTAAAGGGCATTGGCCTCCGCACACCTTCCAGCGGCCTCCTGCGGGCTTTCTCTGGCCCATTATGTAACTGGAGCGCGGGGGGCACGGTCGGTCAGGCGAGGGCTGCGGGCGAGGGAACGGGCTTCCTGCCTTTTTGTGAAGGCTGCGGCTGGGCCTCCCAGGCCTCGGTGTTGGTATCAGAGGGCGTGTTGGTATAGTGCGCGTTTCACACGGTTCCCCCTCCCCACCGCCACCACCTTCCCACACCCCCAGCTCATTCTGGAACGGGTGTTATCACCGTAAGATTGGCAACATCTAAGATGAGAAAAAGAACTTCCTATTTCTTCAGTAGAAACAGGGGATCCCCCTTTTTATTGTATAGGAAATACTAGGATTTTTTTTTTTTCTTGTGGCTGACCCAGGAAGTCATGTTGTTGGCAGCCTTCTGTTTTTTGCTAGAGAGGTGCAGAGAGCAGGGTGTTGCTCGGCTCTGGGTCTTGTGGGGAAGCGTTCAAGGCAGTGACAGCAGCTGCTGTTGGCTCTGGAGCTCCGGTTGCTATGAGAGAAGCTTCAGTAGACTTGGCTGCTATCTCCAGGGAAGGACAGCAGAGCAGCCTCCATTAGTGTGGTGGTGAGGAGATGGCTGGCTCACGTTCAGAAAAGGGCTTTACTTTTGGGGCCACTTGGGGCTTCCCAAGTAGAAGTCTGTATGGTTTGGTACAGTGGGACAAAAACCTACAAGGTGGGTTTCATCGTTGTTCTTTAATTAATGGCATTGCCTGAGAACCTGGGCTGGAAACCCTGAGCTCCTTTTTTTTTTTTTTTTTGAAGTAGATATTTTGGTCTGTGTGGAAAGTAGGACGGTGAGAATTGATATAATCTTCCTGTTAACTGAAGGCTGCAGTCATGTCTCATTTGAACTCCAGTCTCCTTTCCAGCCAGTAACCGAGCCAGATGCTTTCCTTATTGTTTGTATGTCTCCTTCCTCCCCTTCCATCGGCTGGGCCCCACTTGCCTTATTGACTGGAATTTCTGCTGTGTGCAGTGGGTGTGTGCAGCAGACACCAGCCTGCTAATGCTGAGAAGGGATTTTCCATTCACAGGCTAGAGAGCAGTCAAAATAATGGCCCAGCTCAACTTTGCAACGGGACGCAGCTAGAGGAGTTTCCCTCTGGTCCTGGGTATAGAGCAAAAGCTATCCCCTGCCGCTGCTTGTGCGCTTGCATGTCAGTGTATAGCAAACACTGCTCTGCTGTGGAATACAGAGAGAAACATCCTGTGAATAACGTGAAAGATTCCTCTCTCTCGGTTGACTCAAATGCTTAATGAAGGAACAGTTTGCAGGAGGCCATTTTTGACGTGACTATGTATTGTGGAATCTGCCAGCTCCTATCCACGCTCTGTCTACTTGAGTGCAATAGCTTCCTTTTTTAAGGAAGAACGAGTGCCTTTCTTATCTGCTTAACTAACCGTGTGACGCTGGCCACTGTCTATATGGTACCGTATTGTTGAATGGAAGCTATTGGCGTATTCCAGTGGGTTTGTTAAAGGTGATGTAGCTAAAAACTGTTAGTTGAGGTATTGCAGCATGTGAGAGGAAAATACGTTAGTATTAGAAAACAGCTGCCATCTTTGTAAGCTAACACCTAGAACGAGGAACCCCTCTCCCTGCTCCCTGTCAATTCCTGGCCTGGGTTATCAAATTCACAGTTACTGTTACCTGGAAGCAAAAATTCCAGGGTCAGAATAATGTGGAAGAGATTAAAATATGCTCTTAAATTCACTTGGCAGGCAGAAGTAATGCTCTAGGTGCAAAGCTCGTATAGTAACTTATTATTTGAGAATCTGTAGCACCCGAATCGTTTCAGAAGGTAGAGTGAGTAAGTAACTTTTAACCCACCCTAGAATACATCCACCTCTGCAGCAGAACGTGTTACCTGCTCAGTAGCATAGTGCAACATGACAGCAGCAAAGAACTGAGTTTTGTAAGGGTACTAAAACTGGCATCGGCAGTTTATTAAAGTACCGCAAGCGATCTTCATTGCTCCTTAGTCTGTTTACAGTCTCTGTGCATTGCTTACGATATCTCTG